ATGAGGCTCTTCAGCTGAAATAAATACTTGTCAAGTAGAGTTAGTTTTCCCAATAGGAAATCTCATGATTTTTCACCTTGTACAGAACATCGTCCTTGCGCGTGCCTACTTCTTTTCATATGGGACTCCGTATTATCCCGTTATCATTAGTTGCTGCGGCCGTTCTCGGGACGATCGAGGATGACTCACTAGAGCCGGACACCAAAGTGTTAAAACCAGTCCCTCCCGGATGTCTCAGGGATTTCACAGACCCCAAATACAATGAGTGAGTTTAGTCTCCATATTAGGGTCCGTTGCTCATGAGATATGTAATATTGAGGAACGTCTTCTCAGGGACGAATGCCTTCCACTATTCTGGAACCACATGGTTGTAAGTGCGGCCACTCCCAAGATAACTGAGGAGCTCAGGAAACTGAAGTAAGTTGTAGCAAAATGGCGTTGAGGAGAGTTGAGAATACAATGTCTCATCAGGAAGAGTGTGAGTGACGCGACCTACTATGAAGTAGACCTCTACGATGTGGTGTCCTCAGACAAGGGTAAAACCCGTCATCCCCGGTCCGAGTCGGGATTCGCTGCTTGAACACTCGAATCTCAGGCGCAACCTTCACGAATGTGCTTCGCGTGCTTCCTCAAATGTACCGGATCCACACTGTCATTGACGAGCCCCCCCAAGACCAGTCAGCCGATGCCCCCCAGTTCGATGTTACAGTGACTCTCGAGCCCCCCTCGATAATCGAAGGAAGAGGTTCTGAAGGCGACACGATCTCTCCCTCGAGCAGAAAGCTCAGAAGTGGCATCAAAGGGAGTGAGAAGATCAGCTTTCAAATGGCGAACCCGGGGACTGTTAACCTAACACGATCTTACTACCGCCATTTGCCCCCTGAAGGTGTCGAGATCAAGGGTATACTCATTCAATACCATGGTTGGTTAGAAACATGTGAGTTTTTCGAGAATAAGTTCCACAATGCTGCTATCGCTGACAAGTACGGCCTCATATTGATATCCGCCTGTGGGAGCGGCTATGGATGGTTTTCGACCAGACTGTATGCAGTGCATGCATGGAATGCGGGTGTCTGCTGCACATCGAATCAGAACATCGACGATCTTGAGTACACCAGGATTATCATCCAAAGAGAGAACAAGGCGAATTTGCCAGTCTACGGTTATGGTTACAGTAACGGTGGGATGTTAGTGGAATCTCTATTATGCCATAAGATCATCCAAGGAGCCGTATCGGTTAATGGTGTTCTAGCTCTCCAGCCTGGTCTAACCAAAGCTTTCAAGGTTTGCGATAATATCTATAATGACACTACCGTGGTCCCGAAACCTCCAGCACCGAGAATGGCCAGTGTACACTGTATAGACGATGGAGTAGTCCCTTACAATGGTTCAGTCTATGGTCACAGCACACTCCACTACATCGTGGGAACCCTATTTCCTCGGACTAATCGCGATGTGAATAGGTGGGCCAAGAGGATCGACTGTGGGCCTAAGCAGGTAACCAAGACAAGGCTCAACAAGTGGACAGTGGTGAAGGAATGGGAATGCCAAGGAAAAAAGAGAGTTGTCTCCATTAAAAGATTCAATTGTAGCTACTATATTTTAGCACATGGTGTAGTTAAAACTTTTGACCTCGACCCCGCCGAGTGGGCTGCGAAATTTTTTCTCAGCGAAGGCTAGCAGTGTAATGGGAGCCATTAGGGGACCCGTATTGCTGATTCCTGCTCATGAGCACAACGGCTACTTCCCCGCTAGGTCTCATCGTTTATTTCTGTGAGATTGAGGATGCTCCATAGTCCGCACGCGCGCACATAATCCGTGACGCGCTGCTTTTTCTTTCACTTGTTTATGCGTACATCATGACAGATAGTTGATTTCGTAGCGGCAAATAGCTGCAAATAGGATAAATGGTGAGAGTCAGAGTTTTTCAACTTTATTGAGACCATCATGGCATCGAGTTCTGCAGTCGGAAGAGCACAAATTCCAACAATTTCCTCCCAGTCGAGCGTATCATCAGTTTGACCCATTAGACAGTTCACTAAACCGTTGGGATTAATCGTTCATTCTTGTTTAGCACAACTTGTGTTAGTCCTAATGTAACCTGAAATACTAATAATTTGCGGAGCGAGCGAAGCGAGCGGAGCTTATATTACTGCGCACGAACACTCGTGTGCGTGCGTGCGTCCGTCCGTCCGTCCGACCGACCGACCGTGCGTGAGCAAAAATTCTGACCCGACCAGGGCGATTCAGAAGACAAACAGGGTATCATTCTGTCCCTCGTTGACTCCTCATCAGCGTAAAAATATAGCGAAAGTGTGGCTGTTGCTTTGCCTGCTTATATTTCACGAAACGGTTCTACGCATAAGTGATGGACTGTTAGCTCAGCACGTTAGTATTCACGACTCCCAACCGAATGACCTAGGGTCAAATCCCACGATGGTCATTTTTCTCACATGTCTCCATAAGGAGACAGTGGTCGGCCACGTCGACGATGCCAGCCAACACCCGACAACCTTTTGTTTTTAGTCACCCAATTTCCAAAATAATCTCAATAAGAGCCCGCAGAATTCTTGATAGGAAGCTCAGCGAGCTCCGCCCCTTCGCACCGAAGACCTAGTATTAAAGGGGTCTATCGGTTATACCGTGAAACTTCCGACGGTAAAGGTCACAGCGACTCGGTGAATTCCACAACGATTCTATCTGATAGATATTGTCGATTAGACAGTTGACATTTTGCAATTCATCACGACCTGGTTGCCTAGGCGAACAAATATCGCAATACTGAGGCTACGCAATACCGAGCCCAAGCTGTTATTGACGGAAGCTACACGCCCAAACTGTTATACAAGGCTAGGCAGTTATGCAAGGCTGCGCGGGGCGAGCGCGAAGTTTCTTTAGAAAAGATACACTTTCTTTGGAAATATGGATTTTACCGCATCACGTGTACTTCTCGTAATCGCAGTTGTGTTGTGGTGCACGGAGGTCGCGAGCTCGAATCCCAGCACATGTAATTTTGCCAGCTTCTGTGGTATGCTTTGGCTCATGCTCATTTTGAAGTTGACTGGTGTTGTGTTCTTTCTTATGAGGGGGAGGCTGGGGATAATCGGCAATATTAATTTCATGGCGCGTGACAAATTTTAACCTAGCGTAGAACGACAGTTTGCGGACCTTAGATCTTTCTCTTTTGTGATGTTCCGAATGGCCTCGTCAGTGGCGCTGAGAGCTCGTGCTCGGATGATGGGTATAAACGGGGTCAACGAACTCCCTCGTGGATATGTTCCCCGCCCTGGGATGAAATTACCGCAAAACCTGAGGCGCATCCAAGGCTCTCCTGTGCTGCCTGGAGTGCATCTGCCGATCCCTGCTGGAGAGGCTGTCGAGAGAGGAGCTCATGCAGTGTGCACGCATGCGCAAAGTAGTGTGGGGACGCTGGTCGAGATAGGAGATGGGCGGATGATGATTCCGAAGATTCGAGTGGAGTTGAATGAGGATGGAATCTTCACTGTGCGCAAAGATACTTTTGATGACCCAGTCACTGTGCGAGAGGCTCGGGAGGAACTGTTGCGGGAATGCGAGAAATTGGCTGCTCGCGATTCGAAATTCGCGTTGAAATGGGTGCAAGCTTTGGCGAGATGCGAGGCTAAGGATCTCCATTGGATGCCCGATGCCTTAGCGGAGATCTTGACAATTTCGGATGAGGAGAAGGTATCTCTTCTGGAGGAAAGGAGTCTGGTAGCTCGAGCGAGACGGGTTGGTGATATTATTCGTGGAAAGGTTGGTGATGGGCAGAAGGATAGAGAGGATATCGATCAGCTGATCGATTTGGGGAGGAAGATCCCTCTTGGGAATACTGGTGATAGGACTCGACGGGTGTTTGAGAAGGAGTTAACGAGGCTAAGTCAGCTTGAGCCGAGCTCACAGGAGTACGCAGTAACACGACAGTATCTCGACGTTGTCCTTTCATTGCCGTGGACTTCTACTGAGGGCGTCGTCGACTTCTCTGCAGTGCGCTCGAGTTTGAGTGCCACTCACTATGGTTTAGAAGAGGTTAAGGAGAGAGTGGTAGAGTTGTGGGCGTTGGGCAAGATGTCTCATCCTTCGACTGGACAGGTTAGACCGTTACTCTTAGTGGGTCCACCGGGCTGTGGGAAGACTTCAATTGCTGAGAGTATTGCGAAGGCCCTTGGGAGGAGGTTCGA